TTTAGGCGAGGGAGGAGGGGAAGTTGGAGGACGCGTAGGACATCTAGGATGAGAAGGAATATGGAGGATGAGGAAGAGGGAGGACGAGGAGGGAAGGAGGAAGAAGCGAGATGAGGAGGGACGAGGAGGAGAAGGAGGAGGAGGAGGAGGAGGAGGAGGAGGAGGAGGAGCAGGAGGGGGGGACCGGAGGAGGAGCAGGAGGAGGCCGAGACGGATATGAAGGCGGAGGTGGGGGCCGAGGCGGAGGAGATGGAGGAGGATGAGGAACAGGAACAGGAGGAGGAGGAGGAGGAACAGGAGGCGGAGGCGGAGGTGGAGGAGGAGGATGAGGAGGAACAGGGGGTGGTGGAGGAGGAGGAGGAGGAGGGGGAGGAGGAAGAGGAGGAGGACAGAGGATGAGGAGGCGATGAGGAGGAGGAGGAGGACGAGGAGGAGAATGAGGAGGAAGAGGAGGAGGATGAGGAAACGGATGAGGAGGCGGAGGCGGAGGCGGGGGCCGAGGCGGAGGAGTTGGAGGAGGAGGAGGAGGAACAGGAACAGGAACAGCAGGAGGAGGAGGAGAATCAGGAGGAGGAGGAGGAGGGGGGGCAGGAGGATGTGTGTATGCCCAAGAGTCATCAATGAAGTTTGAATATGCCCTCCCTCCAGGCTCCGTCTTCATAGGCCCCTACAACGGGTCATTTCCATTGCGGAAACGGCCTCGTTGGAAGACACACGTGTGACGGCCCTGAAGCATGCCAAGACATTGTTCTCTCGATGCTAACGCCACGGATCACTTTGAGTGCTGCGTCTTGACGGTCCTGAGTCGCGGCAGAACGCCATTCATGGGACTCCAACACCGCAATCAATGCAAAGATTGCGCCTTTAGAATCTTCAATTCGTCCACAACACCATTACTGGTACGCTGAGTAGGGGAAGCCGTGAATCTCGTGCATTTGTGAACAACGAATGCACGCGGCGCTAAGGCGAGAGCACCATTTCGAAAAGGAACCGCCCTCAAAGCGTGAAATCTTGCACATGTTTTAAAACGAATGTGCGCGGCGCTAATGCGAGAGCCACATGTTGAACTCCACCCGCCCTCCATCCGTGAAGCTGCTGTCATATTGTAAGTTTCAGGGTCGTAGATGCTGAGAAAGTATCAGGCGAAACGCCCTGCCCGCCTTAAATACTTGCCTCGGGTTGCGGCAGGGAGAAGCTACTTATACGGACAAGGAATGGGGGAGGAAGAAACAGAGGAGGAGGAGGAGGAGGAGGAGGAGGAGGAGGAGGAGGGAAAGGATGAGGAGGAGGAGGAGGAGGAGGAGGAGGAGAGGAGGAGGAGGAGGGGGAGAGGGAGGGGGGGGTGAGGGTGCGGGAGGGGAGGGGGAGGCAGGGGAGGGAAGGAGAGAGGATCTGGGGGACGATGAGGCGAGGAAGAATGTGACAAGGGGGAGAAAGAGGAGGAGGAGGAAGAGGAGGAGGAGGAGGAGGATGGAGGGACAAGGGGACGAGGCCTCCCGACTGCATCGGATGTCTACTCGAACCGTCCGCCAGGAGCCCGCCACCTCTCTCTCGGGGGTTGCCAGACTTGCCAAATCTAATCGAGGTTTTTGGGGGTTTTTCTTTCGGCCCACAGCAACGAGCCCCTGCGTGAACTTTCGCACCAGGAAAAACTAGTGGTGGTGGCGCGAAAATTAAGACAAAGCTGGCGCTCTTGTTCGTCCCTCCTCCTCCTCCTCCTCCTCCTCCTCGTCCTCGTCCTCCTCCTCCTCCTCCTCCTCCTCCTCCTCCTCCTCCCCCTCCTCCTCCTCCTCTTCCTCCTCCTCCTCCTCCTCGATGGGGGGATGTGGACAAGCACGTGCATGCCTAGATTACCCGCCCATGGGCTACAAACCCTTGTCGTTGTTTCAATGTCGCCTGGGTCAGCCTCGCGGATAGCATCACGTTGCTTATTGTTTCGCATTACTATCGACATCGCCAGTGTTTTGTCCCGTAGTCTCTCCAGGCTCAAAGGCTTGGCTGATTCGGCCACAGCACATTGGATGTTGGCACTGGCTGCTTCGGCCAGAGTCCAATGCTCATTGGCCTGGACATCGGAGACTGCATTTCAAGGCGCGCTCGTCCAGGCCAACCGAAGCCCGAGAAGCCAGGCCATTGGAACACACGGGAAACATACGACTTTGATACAGAAGAGGGGGAGGTGGAGGACGAAGCGAAGGATCAGGAGGTGCTCCTCGTCCTTCTTTTCGCTACAAACTCCCAGGCGAATTCTACAGCGAGGTCGTGCCAGGCTTTTTCCAGTTCATTGTGCTGTTCTCCCTGGCGTACGGCGCCGGCGCAATCCACCTCATCAGCAGGACCACTAAGGGCGAGCGATTGGTCCCGAACAACAGATGGGGCTCGGTGGCCAGGGCATGGTGATGGCAGGGATAGATGGGGCCCAAACAAGACTTGTCTAGGATGGGGCCCTTATTCCCTGTGCCAGCACCATCAGGTGGAGGCATGGGTCATTCGCTTCGCCCGCGAGTGCGGCCTGGCCCAGATGAGCACCCCGAGCTCTCAATGGGATATCTCGACCCATGTGCACGCGTGCGCAGAAACATGGGGCCACCGGGGAAAAGGCCCCATTGCCAAAGAGTTGGGTCTGACGCACTTCGTGGACAACACGGCGGACTGCATCTGGAGCGTGCTCTACGATTCGGCTGGCAACGCGAGCGCCACCATGCAGGCGCACGCCGATTGGAAACGCATGTGTGTTACATAATAAGATGACAAGTTTTTGGTGGGAAGAGATTTTCAATATGTGTTTTGGTCCTCCGAGGCTGCCGTCCACTTCACGGGGCTCAATCCCGTCGGGAACGTCTCCCAATTCTCTCCGTGCTGCTCCGTGCAATCTTGGCGAGAGCTTGCCGTTATGCTGGAGTTGCCCTACGTTGACAAGGCCAGGCGGGCTGACCTTTGCAACCCTAGACGTAATCAAACCGACGGCGCTACTTGGCGATCGTCAGTCTGAGGTCGAATAGGGCGTGCGGGCCAGCTCTCCAGAGGCATGGGACATGCTGGACCCCATGGGGCCGCCCAAGATGCGCAGCATCAACATGCTGCCAGATCTACTGAGCCATCTCAAGCACCATATCGTCCAGGAGTTCGGCCACATCACGTACCACGGGGGCCTCTTGCTCAATGCCATGTTGTGGCCCTTCCCTTCTTCTGGGAAGCGCGGGCGTTCCAATGCGCAGGCGGTCAGTGGGTCATCAGCGGCATCTCCAACAACGCATGGAGACACCAATTCAGCGTCCAGTGTGCCAACGGCGCCTACTACTCAGCCGTCAGAGCCTACTGAGCAGGCAAGCCAATCGGCTGATTCGGCCAAGGACGACACGAGTCAGCAATGGTCCAAGTGGCGCACGGCTGGCACGTGCAGCGCTAATTGGCACGACAAGAAGATGCAGCGAGCCATTGCGCACCGGGTCCGAATTGAGTCCGGCTCTCCCGCGGCGCGGAAGTACATCCAGCTACCCATGTGCAGCGGCTGTGGGCGCAATCAGCCAGCAACGACATGCTGGCGGGTTTTCTGCCGCCCTTGCTGCGTTGATGCAGGCGGCTGCGACGTGCACTGGTGACTCGGCCACGCTACTGGAATGATCGCGCCAACCCAATCCGTCTTCGTCATCCGATCAGCCCCACCTCGCCTCCATGCCATCAACACCACTAGCAACTAGCCTAGCACGGAAGCGACAAACCTGGGGGTAAGTTGTGAGGAAGTCTCACGCGGATTAGCAAAGGTACAATCGCCGTATGAATAACAGAAGTAGTAGCACTGCCAATAAAAGTAGCGGCCAAGGGCATGATTGTCAAACGGTGTTTCTCTGCTTGGACTGCGCCCAGAGACCCCAGATCAGACTGCCTCCGTTCCGTTCCTTTCCACCTCATGTTTTCAAACAGGTTTTACTGGCTCAAGCTGTTTCGGCCTTTGCCGTCTACCTCGTACCTGCGCTGCTGGCTGTTTCGGCCATGGGCAAGCGCCCGCCGCCTAAGTCTTCTCCGGGCTCCTCCGCGAAGGCTCCCAGACGCCAATTGAAGGCAAAGACCCCCGATGCGCAGGTTGATGCCGCGCAGAAGAGCGCGGATCAGAAGCTCCAGGATGACAACATGTGCGTTAAGGTCTTGGCCCAGGTCCACGACGCCTTGGAGACGATCAACAAAGACGCCATCTTCGCGGGCGTGATGGACATGGAGCCCCTCAGGATCGGTGACGGCGGCATGCAAGCGCCGTTCAGCCAGGAAGAGTTCAACAACGTCCTCAGCACCCCTCCAGAGACCAACTCCTTTGATCACTTCTACCTCTGTGGCGGAAATTTTCCATGGCAAAGTTTTACTTGGTTGGTGAACCACAGAGTTCCAATGAACCATGGACAAATTGCCGAACTCCAGCGCTTCAGTTACAAGCGCGACGACCCACCCGACAGGCTGGAGTTCAATGTCGCGGCGTGCGTGGACTCAGCAAACACAGACGTCCTGAGCCACAAGGGCGCGATGATGCGACTTTCATCGCCCGAGCCTGTCTTCGCTGTCTTGTTCTCCATTGCCAAGGCGATCCAGGAGGGCGTGGACGAAAAGATCCGCATGCGCTGGCGGAAGGTCTTACTCACGGCCCCCATTCCAATTTGAGGTCGTTCCTGAAGGGGAGGAAAGGTTCTGGCGCTCACAGAACCTGAGGCAACGCCTCATCGAGGCGGGGGTGGTGTCCCACATGTCATGCAGGCAGTGGGCGTACGACATCACGGGGTTCAAGGCCGCCAAGGAAAGGGAGCTGCAGAAGTCCATTAGCTCGCTGGTGCTTGCAAAAATGTACAACGCGAAGATCACGTTCGCCGGCGGCGCTAACAAGATCACCATCAGCGACAGCTTCATTGGCAGCGCTGCGACGGTGTTCGAGCGTGTCTTGTCCCAGGAGACGGCCAGGCACTGGCAGGAGTGGGCAGAGGAAAAAATGCTCGGCGAATGCCCCTTCAAGACGATCGCTGCGCTCCAAGCTCTCGTGGATCGGGCTCGGAGCCCAGTGTATATCTCGTGGGCGGTCTGGGGCATCGCAGATCTGTGGAGGATGGAGCTCATCACACTCGGGGATTTGTCAGGCAAGAAGATGAAGGACTACCGAACGTCCTACATGAAGCAGTATTGCCTTTACACGTGGCTTCCCACCCTGGGCCTGAAGGTCGAGCAGGTCCATAAATTGCAGGAGGTGTTTGAGGACTTCGGGAGCGTGCGGGCCAAGATGTCTGCCTACCCTGGAGAAGTTGCGGACGCCACGTGGCTTGTGGTTTGGCGGTCCGAGGGCCTGAACAAAATTGCCGACATCCTGGAGGACTTCATCTACACCGTGAACTGGGACATGCGCTACAAAGATGCAGTTCGGTCGAAACATAAGATTAACGAGTTCCTTGAGTACGACTCTGTCCAAGAGAAGCTCAACGAGATCAAAGTGGAGCTGGCAAAGGAGATGAGCGTCGCCATCGACTGCGCCCAGGGCAGCGCCGGGGGGGGCACGGCTGCTTCGGCCACCGCCACAGAGACCGCAACACCAGAGGCGGCTCCTTCAGGCTTCGAGAGCTTGCCCGAGTCCGAGCAAGAGCAGTGGGTCAAGTACGCGAACAAGCTGTTAAGCACGCACGTCGAACTGATCCCTGAACCTAAGACGGGCGCCGAGCTGGAGAACGCCCTCAAGGACTCCAAGCTGAACGAGATTCGGGGCGACCCGGTGGGCCTCGTCCTGTACTGCTTCGACGTCAAGGGGCACGGTGAAAGCGAGCATAGGCCCGAGCTTCGCATTCCGTCGCTTCGGGAGCCTATCTACACGAAGATCGTCCGCGCCGTGCTCAAGGCCCGTGCGCCGCCAGGCGGACTGGGGCACATTCGAAACGGCGAGGTTGCGATCATCATGGATGGCGGTCGGAAAGGTAACAGCAACAAGCTCATAGCACCATGGAAGGAGAATACGTCCAAGGAGCAGCAGAAGAAGAAGAAGGAGGACGACGACGAGGACGAAGACGAAGAAGAGGATGACCAGGATGACGAGAAGGGGAGCGTCACCAGTTCCATCTTGCAGCTCGTGTACACAGAGGAGAGCCTCAAGGAACGGCGCCTTCGCAACAAGAGCTCGACAGGCTCCGTCCGCCAAACGGAGTGGGCGCACATGGTTTCGTCAAGCAAGATCTGCCTCCCTGGGCGTGCTCGCAAACACTTCCCAGGGGCGACGGCGGGCGACACCATCGTCGGGATCACCAAGCCTGACTACAGCAGGGAGTGGCAGATCTCATGGAAAGTCAAGAAGGAGCTGCTGGGCAAGCGCAACATCTTTCGCGTGGGTGGCAAGGCCAAGGGGGCCGACGACGGGAGGGCACTGACAAGGCAGCAACTGCCAAATCAATTAGCTGCATTGGCACCGCCATGCCATAGGGGTCACGAGCTCGCCGTTCGGCTGACTCTGATGGCATGGCGGCTTGCCATCGCAATTAATGGATTTGGCTGCGCAGGCAGCGGAGCGTCGCACGGACGCGACCATGGGCCCCTGCACGTTCCATGGAATGCCGAATACTTGGTACTCAGAACTGATCCATACATTATTTGCCAAATTCGTCATCGATATGACCCCAATGGATGGGAAGTTTGCCTACCAGTGCCTGATCAACAGGTTGGGCTACGTGGGCATTGCCTTCAACGAGTTCCATGCCGATGAGCTTTTGAAGAAGCTGAGGGCCGAGCTCATGGACGACATGAAGAACCCCGAGAGCAAGATGCACGTCCCCGCCTACGCGAAGGCCATGGGGTGTGAGGCCGCGGCCAAGCCACCACCGCCGACGGATACGAAGGCCAAGAAGCGAGCCAAGGGAAAGCCGAAAGCGAAGCCGGCTGTGAAGCCGCTGGAGGAGGAGGAGCCGGGGGAGCCGGACGGGGAAGATGTGCCGTCGGAAGAACTTCCAAATGATGACGAGGACGGTGAAGTGCGGGACCCAGACGCGTGAGTGCACATCCTGACTAAGCTGTTTCGGCTCACTGTCAGGATCTAGATAGAAACGTTCACACGCACACACACACACATACACACACACACGCCACAGCACGCAGGTATCTAGGTAGACTCGTAGTAGTAGGTTGCGCGCTCCTTGGTACAACATCGGGATTGGTTGTTCCACCAAGGCGTTTGCTGCATTTCAGCTCTTAGCTGATTCGGCTGGCGCATGCACCTCGACGTCTACTGCGGCTGAGGTTACAAAAGTGATCATCTTTCTCAACATCTCCCTTTTCGAAAGCCTGTCAAGCGCGAAACGAAAACACAGGAACGTGTCATTTGCCTGTGGTTTGATCCTCGTTCCTCAGGGGCGCACCTCCTCCCTCCCCCTTTTCGTCCCAGCTGAGAGGGCTGATGGATCCCAGGGGCGATTTAAGCACTGCCCCCACCCAAACATGTTAGCGCACCCCCGTGGCGCGATCAAGCGAGGATATCCGCTAGGCTCTCTCGGACCCCGGACAGTAATCTCGAAACCTCATCCTCCTCGTCCTCTCCTGCCTCCGATCCTCCTTTCTCCGATCGCTGGCCTCAACAGTTGCTGCGGGGACCCAGGCTTGAGCCAACATGATTGTTTGAATTCTTGGGCGTGTCCGAGCGCTGGTCCAGGGACGTCCCAGGTAGCGCACTAGTTTGGAAACCGATTGGCATCCATGAATACGCCAAAATTTCTGAGGGAGGCGTAAGGAGCTGGATGCCATCCAGCTGCATGTGCCGCTCAAGGCCGCCCTTGAGTGGCACAGTGCAGCGTTCCAGATCTGGATGTGAGCTGGATGTTCAGGGTCGACCTGAACATCCAGCTCACATCCAGCTCTGGAATGCTGCACTGTGCCACTCAAGGGCGGCCTTGAGCGGCACATGCAGCTGGATGGCATCCAGCTCCTTGCGCCTCCCTCAGACTTGAAAGCCATCCTGGCCAAAGCGGGGGCGTCATACAAGGGCGGTGGCTATCTAAGTGGCATCCACCCTGCACGCGCGGTATAGAGCATCGAGCTTCAGGTTGAAGGAGTGGTTTGTTTCGCCAGTGTCTCACGAGGCCATTGGTCCTATCTCCCAATGTCAGGCTGCCGACGGAATTCAAGGTCGGCACCGAGCGGCGCAAGGAGCTGGATGGGCACATCCAGCTCCTTACGCCGCTCGGTGCCGACCTTGAATCCGAGCGGCTGGCCAGAATCAAGGACGACACCGAGTGGCGTAAGGAGCTGGATACGCACCTCCGGGGCCTTACGCCACTCGGTGCCGACCTTGAATCCGAGCGGCTGGCCAGAATCAGGGACGGCACCGAGTGGCGTAAGGAGCTGGATGGGCACCTCCAGGGCCTTGCGCCACTCGGTGCCGACCTTGAATCCGAGCCGCTGGCCATAATCAAGGACGGCACCGAGTGGCGCAAGGAGCTGGATGGGCACCTCCGGGGCCTTACGCCACTCGGTGCCGACCGTGAATCCGAGCCGCTGGCCAGGATCAAGGGCGGCACCGAGTGGCGTAAGGAGCTGGATGTATCCGAGTGGCGTAAGGCCCCGGAGGTGCCCATCCAGCTCCTTACGCCACTCGGTGCCGTCCTTGATTCTGGCGACGCACGCGCGCGCGTATCTACACGGGCGGCTCGGTGAATGCTTCGGTACTCATTTTTTTTGCGCACCGTTTGGGCTCAATGAATATTTTCAGCTGCTTCGGCTGATTGCGACTGCACTTGCGCATTGCTGCAGCCTGGCGCCGCGAGGCGGGCCGCTCGGCGACGCCCAAGTCCACGGCAGCGACGAAAAAGGCTGGGGCCACGCCACAGGCAAAGCGTCGTCCCAGGTGCCTGAAGAAGATCAAGTTCGGGTCTGATTTCTCTGGCATGGATGGCGCCGCGATCGCCATGTTACGATTGAACATCGACTTCTCGGTGCTGTTCGTTTCGGACACCCACAAGAAGTGCCACAAGCTGCTGGAGCGGCACGAGCCGAAGCACATCTACACTGACATTATGGACGTGCCCATCAATGATAAGCCGTACGTGGACGTCTACGTCTTCACGCCACCATGCCAAGATTTTTCAGCTAATGGCAAGCAGTCTGGCGCCGATGGCCCCCGCCAGACGGGGGAACTCATGGGCAAGGCCCTCCGTTACACTCGCGAGAAGAAGCCGCGGCTCGTCCTGTTCGAGAATGCGTTTGCCCTGACACATGTAAAATTCCGCCCGGTGTTCCGGGGGCTCATCAAGCACATCCTTGAAAGCGGGTACGCGGTGTATGACAAGGTGATCAACGCCAATACTTGCGGCTTCCCGCAAGACCGTCGGCGCCTGATCATTGTTGCAATCCGCAACGACTCCATCAAATGTAAATTCCAGTGGCCCGAGGCCCGCAAGGCCGTCTCACTGAAAACCATCATGGACTCCAAGACCCAGCAGGACGTGCCCGGTCGCCTGCCCAAGAACGCGATGGGCAAGAAACGCTGCGCCAAGGCCTACTCGGAGTGCCACCAGAACGGCATCGATCCACGGACCACCCCTGTCGCGGTGGACATCGACGCAGGGGAGAAGTTTCAGGTTTACGGGGTGGACGAATGCAAGACGATCACCCGGGTGCGCGGCGGGTGCGGCGGACCGTGGATCAGCACGCACGGACGCCGCTTCACCACGCGAGAGCTTTTGAAGGCACCGCTGCTACGGGACTACCCCCACTGCCCAGGGAAAGCCGACCAAGCGTTGTGGAGCTCAGCGACGACGCTGAACTGAGCACAGGCTTGGTCGGCCACCACGGGGCATTGGTAGCGTGTCCTTAGCCGCCCTAGGCCCAGGGCTTCGCGCCAACAGACGTCCCCTACGAGGAACTCAAAATCACGCCGCGCCAGGTCGGCATGATGGTTGGCAACTCTCTGTCCCCGAACATGGCTGGCTGCGTGCTGCAGGAGGCGCTTTGGAGCGCTGGTCTCACGAAGGAGAAGCCACAATTCCCAATCATGTCTCATTGCGCGTAAGAGGTAGTCGCCGTGGACGTGCTAAGCTGCTTCGGCTTTGAATCAGAAGTGTCTGATCCTGGTAGGTCCTTGCTGCTATTATTTAGCTGCGTTCGGCTTTTTTTATCAGCTTTCTCGCGCTGTCGCGGGCGCATTTGTGGACCAAGCCTATAGTGAAGAAACAGAGTAACCAAAATGCGGCCCCCGCTACCATTGAATCTAGGCTACCATAGTCACGTCCACGGGGCTTTGGCAGCCAGACCAGCGTTTACTCCGTGGGCTGTTTTCGGATCCAAGTCGGTTCGGGCATCCAATTGAAATTGAGCCTCTGGCAGCGAGGAGAAGGAGGATGACAATGAGGAGGCAGGAAGGGAGGGGAAGGAGGAGAAGGATGAGGATGCAAGAACATTGAAGTATGTGGGCTCTGCTTCCTGGAACTCATATATCCCCCTTCCCGTGCTGCTCCCCCCCCCCATTCCCTCCTCCTGTTGCGTGGAGCCCCGTGTACCTCATCCTCCAACTCCCCACTCGACCTCATCCTCCACCTCGCCCCTGCCTCCTCTTTCTTTCTGCGACTCCCCCTCCCCCTAATCTTCTTTCTTCCTTCGAAGCCTGCAGCGTCCCTACTCCTGCCTCCTCGCACTCCTCGCCGTCCGTTCCATTGCCGCTTTGGCCCTAAAGGCTGGCCAGCTGCTTCGGCTGGCCGGCTTCAGCAACCATGGGTCAGGGGCATGACCCAGTCGCCGTAACTCGATGGCGGCGGTTGTACCCGCGGTGGGCCAAACAGTTTCTGCTGGTGCCGGGGGTCGCATCAAAAGGAAGTTGGTTGGACAGCAGGTGGACGCAAGGGCTTGGTGTTGGATGTAAGTGTTGCCACGCAAGTGGGTTGCCAGGATCTTTTGGGACGTACGCCATTCAATCTGCAGGCGCTTTGCAGTTGTGCCACTTCGTGAGGCATGAGGCTTCAAGTGCACATAAGTCTGCGACTGCCGAGTATCTGTCGAAGCCCGCTCTAGAAACCAACGAGTTCCAGGATATTGCCAAAAGAGTGGCCGAGGGAGAATCGTTCGCGAAGTTAGGCAAGCCTGGCCGAAAAATTGCGCGGTGCCTGCTGGAAGCTATCAAAGAGCAGAATAGCGCGGCGATTAAGGGTGCTAAATACATCGCTCTGATGCGGGATGAGCGCGCAGGGCGCTTGCACATCAGATTCAAGGCTGTGAGCGCCTCTTTACATATTCATTCTGGCACTCTAGGCATGGAGGAGGATTTTGGCACTGGCGCGAGTGCCATCTGTGCGGCGACTTATCGCATCATGCGCCGGATTTGCACGGCCTTCCACCAGCCTCAGATTGTCGAGCAGGCGTGGGGCCTCACCAAGCTAAACACTTCCCTGTACGATCATTTGCGACGCTCTATTTTGTGCGTTGCGATCGATTTCGCTGGAGACGAGGTGCTGGGTGCAGACATGATGAGGACGAGGGCATTGAGCCAATCACACAGCATTCTGACACCCAACTTACAGTGGGTCATCAAGGACAAAGCCCACGCGTCCAGGAGAATTGTGAGTCGCCCATGGGCGGCCGACGATTTCATCAAGGACGTGGCCCTTATGATGTCCCAGGGGCGAGGCTCAATGGCCAGGATTATCCAAAACAGCCTAGATGCCAGACGCGTTTTTAGAAAATTTGTAAAGGCAAGTCAGAACAGTGTTGCGAGGTCGGCATGCGCGAATATGAAAGCAGCGAAACACCGCTGTGAAAGCTTCGCAAGGCCATTAGGGCGGACATGCTTACACATTCACGCCACGATTCGCACAGCCCTTTCTTTGGTGGACAAGGCCAACACGGCCGAACGGGCCAAAGCGTGGCTGCAATGGGTGAACACAGAGAGATGTCTGATGGCAGCAATGTTGGCAGACGCCAGCGACCAAGCCCTGGCCCTCACACGCCTGATGGACCAGGAGGGAGTTGACCCTGCCATCATCAACAGGGAGATCAATTCCTTCAATAATGCTATCACGGCGCTTTTTCATGGCAATCAATGCCTCTCGGTTTTCGGATATACAAAAGTGATGCTGGGACTGCTACGGGAGCCCGTCATCTGGAACGTCGGTGGCGTCATGTACTCCATTGGCAGCGAGGGCGGGGTCGCGGAGGAGGTGGTCGAGAAATGTATTGGCAGAATGCGTTCGTGGATCATTCTGGCGCGAGCCGCATTGGACTCTGAATTCCCAAGCTGGGAGATCGGACAGGCACCGGGTTGAGTAAACTGGATGGTATGTTGAAGATTTCTTGTTTTTTGTTTTCGTGTTTTCTGACGTGCGTCATATTTCGACGTCGGGAGCGGGCCCGGGGAGGGGAAGGGGCAGGGGGCAATACAACGTACCAGTCTAGTGGATTCAACCAATAAGGCTTTCAGGATATTCGATGCCGACAGCGCCATGCACAACAACCCTGGCCCACACATTGCCAGAATCGCACGGAGCCTCCAACTGGACGCGGCCAAACTTAAGGCTCAATTGCAGGACATGTTTCCGCGAGTCCACGCCCGTTCAAGCGGGGGAGGCTCCGACAACATCACGCTGTGGAAAGGAGTCTTAGAGCAGATGACGAAGCCATGGATGATAAAGCACCACCCCGCCGATGTCCTCTCTGCGGCCTTGGCTGGTTACGCTTGTTTCTGTGCTTCCACCTCTGGCGTTGAGCAGAGCTTCTCACAAACGACCATGTATGTATCATCTCAGCGTTTGCACATGCTGCAGGACACCGGGGAAATGGCAGTCAAACTCTGTTTGGATTCACCGCAGCACGATCACAGCAAGCTGATTCCCAGAAGCATTGACATCTTCAAAACTGTTTACAGTGGAGTGCGCCATCATTGCAAGGACCCCGAATGCCGTCGGGCTGATTTCGGTGTCAAGCGTAAGCTAGCTGCTTCGGCTGGTTCGGAAGCCCAGTTCATTAGGAAACGTCGGAGAAGCGCTCATATAGCTGGTTGTTCGGCCACGGTCTTCAGTGAGATCGAGCGCGGTGCCGAGTGGTGCCACACCCATGATAAGGAGCTTGCTTTCCAGAAAAACAAATATCTGGAGAAGAAGATTGATGCTCTAGGAGAGAATACTCTGCTCGAGCATGAGGTGGCCCCATGCCTCCAAGATGCCCTGGCCGCAAAGCAGAAGACAAGCTTGAAAGACCACCAGGCCCGGCAGAGGAAAGCAACGCGCGTGCAAGCTGCTCTGAGGGGCGTGTCGGGGAAATCCGTCCTCCAGCGTCTTCAAGGCAAGCGCGTTTTTGTAGAAATGAATTGCCGCGGAGCGGCAGTGGCGCGCGCAATTGCAGGCAATGGCATGACGATCGGGTCAAAACATGACTCAGAGTGCTTTGTTGTGCGGACGCCCGGCAATGTAGATGCATGTATTAGTGCTGCTTCGGCGCTGCGGGGTGCCTACCAGATTTCTCCAATGCTGCTGACATCTGGTGGGGAGCAGGGGGTGGCTGCCAAGTTTACTTCCTGTGGCCGCATCCCTAGGGCAGCGTATATCAGCCCAGGCTTCTTAGTACACCAGGCCTCTTTCTGCAAGTTCCTACAGCTAGCCGTGGACAATACTCCAGGGTGCAAGTGGAAGCTGCACACTGAGGGCTGGGCAGCCTTAAAGGCAAACGAGAAAGCGGGGAATATCTTTGCCTTGTTGAGGTCTGGCCAGCTGGCAAATTCACAGCGCAAGGCTTCCTTCGTAGGATTCTGCAAGTGGACGCTTCTGCGTCAGTCAGGGGTTTGGGGTAGCACAGGAAAAAACATCATCGCACTCGCTGCCAATACCATCAATGTGCCACATCACATCATCATCGCTGTTGGACCCGTCATCACCATCACCGCACTGGGTGAGGAGGGGGAGGAGGAGAAAGGAGGAGGAGGAGGAGGAGGAGGAGGAGGAGGATAATGAGGAGGATGAGAAACAATGAGAGCGTTGAGCGTTGAAACGATGATGAGGAGGGATGATGAATATGGAATGTGATGAGAGCGCAGACACGATGATGATACATCCTGCTGATTGCACCCCTCGGCGTACCATGGCCCCTACATCGTTTGAGGCGCCCTCCGAGAGGGCACCTAAACTTAGAGGTGGGCCAAAGAAAAAAACCCCAAAAAACCTCAATTAGATTTGGCAAGCAGAGGTTCCCCTGTCCCGAGGTGCCCCCAGCTTCTCGTTCGACCCTGGGGCCGCTGGGGCCCTCTGGGCCTCGTGAGGGGTGCTTTGGAAGCCGTGAGGGCCTCCTCGGAAATCCTGGGGGCCCCCTGGGCCAGGGACACTTCTGGCAACAGGAGGAATATTCAAACAAAACACAAATAGCAAACATGTGACTATTCATGAACATTGTCGGACTGTTTATTTTGTCCGCTCACAATTCGTGTAGAGGGGGACATGTCCGACCTAAATAAAGCAACGCCCGATGCTCCCAGCCGAGCTCTCCGAAGACGTCCGGCGCGCCTGCGGCCTAGCCGACGCCCTGCGCGGGGAGGCGGGGCGCCCCCATCGCGGCGGCGGCCTCCGCGCCGCGCGCGCGCCGCCGCCGTCGCCGTCGTCGCCAACGACGCCGCAATCGTTGCCATCGCCCGCCGTCGTCGTCATCGACGTCGTCGCCGTCACCTCCTCCTCCTCCTCCTCCTCGTCCTCCTCCCCCTCCTCCTCATCCCCCTTGCCCTCCTCCTCCTCCTCCTGCTCCTCCTCCTCCTCCTCCTCCTCCTCCTCATCATCATCATTATCATCATCATCCTTATTCCCTTTGTCCTCCTCCTCCTCCTCCTCTTCCTCCTCTTTTTCCCGTCCTCCTCCTCCTTCCCCTCCTCTTCCTCCTTTTTCCCCTCCTTCTCCTCGTCCTTCTTTTCCTCCTCCTCCTCCTCCTCTTTCCCCTCCTCATCCTCGTCCTTTTTCCCTTCCTACTTTTCCTCCTTTCCCTCCTCCTCCTCCTCCTTCGCCTCGTCCTCGTCAAGCAACAGTGGCACGAACGGTTGCAAGGAGG